TACTACCACCACGTTGTATCTATAATCATCATACTTGAACACTGTCATTCAAAATTAGTTACTTAAATTCATCAATACCCAAAATTTATGTCTACATATGTGTATATATATATATATATATACATAATATACAGATAACTGAGTGCATATACATATATGTATATATATAGATTATATATAATTGAGACACTCACCGAGTAAGTCACCGGCATAAAATGTCTTTCCATTAGGCCAAGCTTCCATGCTTATAGTGAGGTCCCAACCAAACTCATCACCAACATAGTAGGTAGTTGGCTGAGTAGTGTCACAGCCAAGCACCAAGAAGAGTACTGTCACCATTGATACAATGCTCCTGTAACGATAATTGCCTCCTGATCTTGACATTTTTTTCATCAATCTTTTTTAGCCTGTCCAACTTTATAAGTGATTGAGACATACATGTAATATACAGATATATATATATATATATATATATAATCAACTTATATAGTTGTCTACGTATTTGGTAATATGTACGTAATTAGTTATAATATCAACACTTGGTATATTGATAGATATCTTAAGAAAAATTTTCCTTTTATTATAATTTGAATGGTTTGCATGTGAGCAAGTAATTAATATATAAATGAAATCAATTTATATAGTTGTCTACATACTCTGTATATATACACAATTACTAACAAAATAAGCACTTTTTCTATTTGTAGATATGTTTAACATTTGTAGGATTTTTTTATTTTTATCCTGATTTTAGCGATTTATATATAAACAAATAATTAAGAAAAATTTTCCTTTTATTATAATTTGAATGATTTACATGTGAGCAAGTAATTAATATATAGATGAATCAATTTATATAGTTGTCTACATACTTGATATGCATACACAATTAATGACAATATCAACACTTTCTTTATTTGTAGATATACTTAACATTTGTAGAGATTTTTTATTTTTATTTTAATTTTAGTGATTTATATATGAACAAATAATTAAGAGAAATTTTCCTTTTATTATAATTTGAATGATTTACATGTGAGCAAGTAATTAATATATAGATGAATCAATTTATATAGGTGTCTACATACTCGATATGCATACACAATTAATGACAATCTTAGCACTTTCTCTATCTGTAGATATGCTTAACATTTGAAGACATTTTTTATTTGGAGTATCGATGAAGGCCGGCTTCGGATAATGGTCTCCACCTTCTTTGAACACCTTTATACGGCCGAAAAGGGACTCATACTGCAGTACTCCAAGTTATATAATTGTCTACATATTCTGTATATATACACAATTAATGACTATCAGCACTTTCTCTATTTGTAAATATGCTTAACATTTATAGAAATTTTTTATTTTTATTCTAATTTTAGTGATTTATATATGAACAAATAATTAAGAGAAATTTTCCTTTTATTATAATTTGAATGATTTACATGTGAGCAAGTAATTAATATATAGATGAATCAATTTATATAGTTGTCTACATACTCGATATGCATACATAATTAATGACAATATTAGCACTTTCTCTATCTGTAGATATGCTTAACATTTAAAGACATTTTTTATTTAGAGTATGGATTAAGGCCGACTTCAGATAATGGTCTCCACCTTATTTGAACACCTTTATACGGTCGAAGAGGGACTCATACTGCATTACCCCAAGTTATATAGTTGTCTACATACTCTGTATGTATACACAATTAATGACAATATCAGCACTTTCTTTATTTGTAGATATGCTTAACATTTGTAAATATTTTTTATTTTTATTCTAATTTTAGTGATTTATATATGAACAAATAATTAAGAGAAATTTTCCTTTTATTATAATTTGAATGATTTACATGTGAGCAAGTAATTAATATATAGATGAATCAATTTATATAGGTGTCTACATACTCGATATGCATACACAATTAATGACAATCTTAGCACTTTCTCTATCTGTAGATATGCTTAACATTTGAAGACATTTTTTATTTGGAGTATCGATGAAGGCCGGCTTCGGATAATGGTCTCCACCTTCTTTGAACACCTTTATACGGCCGAAGAGGGACCTATACTGCAGTACCCCAAGTTATATAATTGTCTACATATTCTGTATATATACACAATTAATGACTATCAGCACTTTCTCTATTTGTAGATATGCTTAACATTTATAGAAATTTTTTATTTTTATTCTAATTTTAGTGATTTATATATGAACAAATAATTAAGAGAAATTTTCCTTTTATTATAATTTGAATGATTTACATGTGAGCAAGTAATTAATATATAGATGAATCAATTTATATAGTTGTCTACATACTCGATATGCATACATAATTAATGACAATATTAGCACTTTTTCTATCTGTAGATATGCTTAACATTTAAAGACATTTTTATTTAGAGTATCGATTAAGGCCGACTTCAGATAATGGTCTCCACCTTATTTGAACACCTTTATACGGCCGAAGAGGGACCTATACTGCATTACCCCAAGTTATATAGTTGTCTACATACTCTGTATGTATACACAATTAATGTCAATATCAGCACTTTCTTTATTTGTAGATATGCTTAACATTTGTAAATATTTTTTATTTTTATTCTAATTTTAGTGATTTATATATGAACAAATAATTAAGAGAAATTTTCCTTTTATTATAATTTGAATGATTTACATGTGAGCAAGTAATTAATATATAGATGAATCAATTTATATAGGTGTCTACATACTCGATATGCATACACAATTAATGACAATCTTAGCACTTTCTCTATTTGTAGATATGCTTAACATTTGAAGACATTTTTTATTTGGAGTATCGATGAAGGCCGGCTTCGGATAATGGTCTCCACCTTCTTTGAACACCTTTATACAGCCGAAAAGGGACTCATACTGCAGTACCCCAAGTTATATAATTGTCTACATATTCTGTATATATACACAATTAATAACTATCAGCACTTTCTCTATTTGTAGATATGCTTAACATTTATAGAAATTTTTTATTTTTATTCTAATTTTAGTGATTTATATATGAACAAATAATTAAGAGAAATTTTTCTTTTATTATAATTTGAATGATTTACATGTGAGCAAGTAATTAATATATAGATGAATCAATTTATATAGTTGTCTACATACTCGATATGCATACATAATTAATGACAATATTAGTACTTTCTCTATCTGTAGATATGCTTAACATTTAAAGACATTTTTTATTTAGAGTATCGATTAAGGCCGACTTCAGATAATGGTCTCCACCTTATTTGAACACCTTTATACGGCCGAAGAGGGACCTATACTGCATTACTCTAAGTTATATAGTTGTCTACATACTCTGTATGTATACACAATTAATGTCAATATCAGCACTTTCTTTATTTGTAGATATGCTTAACATTTGTAAATATTTTTTATTTTTATTCTAATTTTAGTGATTTATATATGAACAAATAATTAAGAGAAATTTTCCTTTTATTATAATTTGAATGATTTACATGTGAGCAAGTAATTAATATATAGATGAATCAATTTATATAGGTATCTACATACTCGATATGCATACACAATTAATGACAATCTTAGCACTTTCTCTATTTGTAGATATGCTTAACATTTAAAGATATTTTTTATTTGGAGTATTGATGAAGGCCGACTTCAGATAATGGTCTCCACCTTCTTTGAACACCTTTATACGACCGAAAAAGGACTCATACTGCAGTACCCCAAGTTATATAATTGTCTACATACTCTGTATATATACACAATTAATGATAATATCAACACTTTCTCTATTTGTAGATATGCTTAACATTTGTAGAAATTTTTTATTTTTATTCTAATTTTAGTGATTTATATATGAACAAATAATTAAGAGAAAATTTTCTTTTATTATAATTTGAATGATTTACATGTGAGCAAGTAATTAATATTTAGATGAATCAATTTATATAGTTGTCTACATACTCAATATGCATACACAATTAATAACAATATTAGCACTTTCTCTATCTGTAGATATGCTTAACATTTAAAGACATTTTTTATTTGGAGTATCGATGAAGGCCAACTTCAGATAATGGTCTCCACCTTCTTTGAACACCTTTATATGGCCGAAGAGGGACCCATAATGCATTATCCCAAGTTATATAGTTGTTTATATACTCTGTATGTATACACAATTAATGACAGTATCAGCACTTTCTCTATTTGTAGTTATGCTTAACATTTATAGAAATTTTTTATTTTTATTCTAATTTTAGTGATTTATATATGAACAAATAATTAAGAGAAATTTTTCTTTTATTATAATTTGAATGATTTACATGTGAGCAAGTAATTAATATATAGATGAATCAATTTATATAGTTGTCTACATACTCGATATGCATACATAATTAATGACAATATCAGCACTTTTTCTATTTGTAGATATGCTTAATATTTAAAGACATGTTTTATTTTGAATATTGATGAAGGCCAGCTTTGGATAATGGTCTCCACTTTCTTTGAACACCTTTATACGGTCGAACAGGGACCCATATTGCATTACCCTGTTAGAGGCTTGTTCTCGAAGTTAACTACTATTATGGTTGTTCGGTTGGACTCTGAGATAATGAACTATGAATTATGAACTATGAAATTCATAATGCTTTATTTAGCATGCACCTGTTGAAGGTCTCGGAGTTGATGGCCTTCACGCTGTGTTCTTCCAGAACCAATGAGAGAC